TCACCACGACGGACCGATACAGCGCCCGCTTCACGGCAGACGCTGCGCCAATCCGCCTGTCGATCTCCCGCTCCCCTGTAATTTTATATTCTTTAAATCAGCTTGAAATTTGTGCGTCTCTTTATCTTTTGTAAAACTGAAATAGTCTGTTTTAATCGCTTACGGTCGACCCTTTGGGTCCTGGCTCTCCGTTCATTCCTTGTGGCCCTTGAGGTCCCTATAAAAAAACACAGAAATAGAAAAAGAGAAAAGGTTAATAAATCCAGTCATTTTTTTTTTTTTATAAAACAGAGCAGTGTTTCAGTCCCAATGCAACTAAAAAGGGATTTTTATGGACACTGTTTGTGAAATATAAAGATTATATACTATATGTCTTTCGAATCTCTTTACTAATAAGAATATCAATAGTTTGACAGTAAATTGTTTTATTTTCTTCTAAGCCAGTGCTTTGTAGTAACACATCTAACCAAATTACAAATACAAGTACTTTGGATTTGCAAATGTACAGTTAGATTTTTGTCTGCAAAGTTGCTTAAGCCTACTCTGATTGAAAACAGAAGAGTGTCTATAATCATAGGTTATGGAATGGATTCTCATCTGATTCAGGTCTGGACTTTGACTGGACTATTCCACCACATATACTTCAAAATAAACTATTTGCTTTATTCTTGCTACTTTTATTAAAAAAAAAAGAGAGAGAGATTTACAAAGAGGGCAATTGTTAGCTTTTCCGTGAAAGCTGTTTCCCAAATATGAATAACCTATTGTAAGCCAGTTATTTGTTTTCTGATCCTGAGACTATAACAGAAGAGCTGTTTTAATACTGAGATTAAATTACACACCGTTTGACTATAATCATGAAATAACTTCTAGGAATTTTTGGCTGCACTGGTTATTATTTAGGGAATGCCAGAGTTTAAGTGTTTAAATCACATACTTATATGAGTTTTATTTGAAAAGAAGTTACACAACTAGCTACTATATTCTAGGGCTGAAACAATTAATCCTATCATTGGTGATTAATCAATTATTGAAGATGGAGTAAAGAGGATCTGAAACATGCCTCTAGCTGACAGAGAAACCCACTTAGAGCAACAATTATAACAAAATTGCAAAATAAATTACATAAATATTTTGTATTTCATTTGTTTTAATTGTTTGTTAACATGCTCTACCCAGAACTCCTGAAGTGGAAAAGTTTTAGTTTCACTTGGTTTATTTCTGCAAAAAAATCTTCTTTAAGGATCCTTTTGCTATCAGACTATTAATCAAGTAATCAATCAATTTGCAAAATAATCGGTAGTTGCAGCCCTACTATATTCCTTTTGCATCTAAATAATGTTCTCTATTGGTATATCACTTAAAATCCAAATAAAACACAGTGAAGGTTGTTTTTTTATGAAAAAACACACAAACAAAAAAAATAAAACATTTTTTAAGGCCCTATATTTTACCATCTCTCCAGGAGATCCCGGTGGGCCGTCATGTCCTGAGGCACCCTGAGATACAAGAGGGAAGAAGAACATGCAGGCGGTGACAGATAGCAGTGCAGACACACAGGAACATGTTATTGCTGGCTGAGTCCAGAGTCAGCGAACCTTTTCTCCAGGTTTCCCTGTTGGACCTTTCACCCCTCTGGCTCCTCGGGCACCCTTTGAGCGATAAAACACACAAGAAAAAACACTGACATAAAATGAGCAGTGCAGTTTTAAATCTGTACTGACACACAAAAAAAGCCTCAACAGTCTTCAAGAATAATCCCAATCTGTTTAACTGGGATGTTCTATAAAGTTCTGTTATTTTCAGGAAATGTAAACAAATCAGCAGCTGTAACTGACTTCTAAGAATATATTTTACCCATTATATCATAATGATCAGATTTGCAGTTTTCCCTTTTTACACTTACATTTGGACCTCTCTGACCTGCACCTCCTGCTTGACCTGCGGGACCCTGGTAAGTGTGTAAGAAGCAGTGAATTGTTAAATAAAGTAAAGAATTCCCAGCATTTAAAATAATTATACGTTCTAAATGCTCCACTTACTTTCTTCCCTTTCTCTCCAAGAGCTCCTTGAGCACCAGGAAACCCCTCAGAGCCCTGAAAAGAAAGAAAACGTCTAAATGCCATCTGACACATCTCTATCATCAAGTTATGCCTTATTCTTAGTTGATTTTACCTTGGGTCCTTGTCGTCCTGGATATCCAGGTAAACCAGGAACCCCTAGTTTCCCCTAAAATTCAACACTGGTTAAATGACTTCAAATATCTACTGTTTTCCTGTTTCTATCATCCGTTATACATTATTTACCTTCTCTCCTGGAATACCAGCCGGACCAGCTTCTCCCTGAGGACCCACCTGACCTTTAGGACCTTCAGGTCCATCTTCACCCCGAGACCCTGTTGGTCCATTGTCTCCAATGTCCCCCTTTGCCCCCATCTCCCCCTTTGCTCCTGGAAAACCATCTTCTCCCTGTGAGGAAAGTCAGAGGAAAACAGCAAAACTGAAAAGAATGCATCCATATGAGAGGTCATCAATAGGTCGAAATGTTGATTTCATAATTAATGACATGTTTTGCCACATGCTGTCATTCGACTGCTGGTTGTCTGAATGGTGTCCTCAAAATGATGTTAGCTGGGTGGATAATTGATCAATGTTTTTGGGGATTTTGAAAAACTGCACCCATCCTACTTTGGATAGCACAGCTCTTCTTATTTCAGGAATCTGGACAAATTTGTCAGACCTCCATAACTCTGACAGGGGAGCCAGAGATTAAACACACCTCTATGCAACTTGTACTGCTACCCACCCATCACCCCACTTAGACGGTGCCTTGTGGCCAAAATCAAACACATTAGAATATAATCCGGAGGAGTAAATCATGATTTTTCCTCTCCACTGTTGCTGCATGCATACCCAATATGAAGGATCGCTGCAGAGTCAACAAAATAATACTCATCAATGAGGAGCGAATCCCGCAAAGTCAATGACTTGATGCGAGCTGCTGTGTTTTCTTAGATCAAAAACTTTGGATGTATGATTTGATTAAATCATCTTTGCAAATTCCCTTAAGATAACATTTGTTATGAATTAGTGCTATATCAATGAACTGAATTGAATTTCTGTGCTGCAGGTGTAAAGATGTTTACCTTCTCTCCTTTGCTTCCCTTTAATCCCCTGACTCCATCTGCTCCCTATTAAACGGGGAAAATGAAAAGGATTTAGAAAACATAGAATAACATCAGTGGCTGGTTTGTACAGGAGCATCTGGGGAGAAAATATACAAAACTTCAATGTGCTGAATACAATCACACGTTTGGCTTAGATCTTTATTTACAAAACCCTGAATGTTTTTCAATGTTTCTCACATAATAACCCAAGACTTTGATGGGTTTTATTGGGATTTAATATGATTAATCAACACAAATGGCTGAAAGTTTAAAGTTAAAGGATTGTTCCATTCCCTGCTGAAAACAGAAATTATATATTGCTGCTGTCATTCATGTCCCACCACATAATTCCAGTGTTTTTTTACTTATAGTTCAAGGTATCATCTTTGTTCTTATCTCATCAGAGGAACATCATTCATACATGTATGTTTGCTGTGACATTTCTGTGACAAACTGCCATAAATACCTTTAAGAGTTGTGTTTTAAAAATTATTTCCTCTAGCAAGTCTTGGCAGGTAAGTGATTAAAGTAAAAAGAGGGAGATTGGCACCTCACACCATGGGCATCTCCTCTTCCGGGGGCATCAAGAGCATTGTGTTATTAAGCAGCATCACTGTGTGGTACTGGGACAGCACTGAGCCTCATTAAAATGGTTAATTAATTCACTGTATTTATCTACCTCATTTGCTTGTGTTATTTCAGTAAATTTACTTTCTTTTAGTATTTATGGGAAATATTTTGTTCTTTGCATCATGGCTCATTGAGGCTCAGCATTTTGTCTCTATGTCTCACTGCAAAACTAATTAAGTTGAACTAAATGAAATGTTATCTAAACACCATAGATTGTAAAGTGAAGCTATAAAGTTGTTTAGAAATAGAAACAACAAAAACTGAAGATAACCAAATACACATATACCTAGCTAAATAAAAGCAACTAAATTAACTTATCTGCAAAGATCATAAAAAAAAGCACAGTTGGAAAAGAATGTCTTCAGCTGCCAATGTAAAAAACAAAGAAGTTACTGTTCAGTGTGCAAAACTATCATCCCTCAGACCTCAAGTTCATTTTGGCTTAAGGATCTACAGACTGGCGTTGGAAAATAAGACTTTTACAATAAAGTTGAGCCTGGATTTTGAAGTCCTGCATTCATAACAGTTTTGCCCAAAGGTGGTGACTCTATTCTAGAGGAGGTATTTATTTCAAAATCATGAAATAAATACCACCTTGTATTTTTTTGTCTGATCTGTCATATTATGCGTACAATTACCGGTATGTCTAAGTAGATTTACAGTCATGTCATTCTTTTTTCGTTTATGGGTGATGGATCTATGAGTTGTTTAAAGATTATGGCACTGTTTGGAAGTCCTGTTACAGATTTTTCCACAACTATTATTTGTGATTCTTGATCCTATAGCGATGCTGTTTGTTCAGTACTTTTCTGAGAAACTCTTGAGACTTTGATAGAACAGCGGATATTATACAGAAAGTTTTAATTCCAGAGTGGCTGACTCTATTTATCAGTTAGTGCATTTTATTTGGGATGTAAAAAGAAATACATGTCTGCTTTTCTGATTTTTATCAGTAAGAATGATGAAATATGAAAAAGAATTTAAGATGCTTTAATGCTTCTGCAAATCCCTGTAAACCTGTCTGTAGAGAAAAGAGGTAGAACATTTTCCATTTTACAATTCCTACCTTTACTCCACGTTGTCCAGGGTATCCAACAGGTCCTTGCACTCCTGGAGGACCCTAGCATCAATCACACAAATAATAATAAAAAAAATCTACACTCCAAACAGCTATAACATAAAACTACAAACAAATATACAGAGCCTTACTGGCAATCCCTTTTCACCCGGGGAGCCTTCTCTGCCAGGATGACCCTGTAGACAAGCATATTTGTTATGGTGGGAGTAGAGCTTCAGGAATGCATCTATGATCTGATGAAGTATAGAACCTGAAACATGTACATACTGGAGGCCCGTCGTTTCCAGGTAAGCCCTGCATCCCTTTCTTCCCTTGGGGTCCCTGCAAGAGAAAGCGATGAATTAATCCACCAAGAAATCCAATCCTAAAGAAATCACCAGCTAAGACTCACTTACCTTTTCTCCTGGCAGTCCTACTAACCCCTGAGGGCCAGGAAAACCCTGCAAATGCAATTTGATTAAATTTTAGATCGATTTTCTGTAATCTACTTTCAGCATGTTTTCCTTTGGGCTCATACAATGATTCCAGGGTTGCCTTGCTGTCCAGGTGCTCCAATTTCACCTGGTGGTCCCTGTTACAGGAAAAAAAATAAATATGTCAGGCTGTGAACTTATCAAGCACCCTCAGGGTATCTTTATCATACTCACTATGTTGCCCTTTGAACCTTGCATCCCGTCAATTCCACGAATGCCCTATGAGCAGAGACAGGTTGACATTTAAACACAAACTGACATTTTTTTCTGTATCCAAAATTGCATATGGCATATTTTCTGATAATTGGGCTTAAATGCAACAGTTTTGTTGCACTGCCTATTATTTTTTTATTAAATCATTTTAAAGCTATGCTAGGAACTGAATTAAAATAAGAAGATCTTAAGCCATTTATGGCTCAATCAACCAGCATCCAGAACGACTGTGTAAAATACACAAAGGAAACCCGTGTCTCTGATGCTGAGCAGTGTTTATTCATGTCTGTACAAGCATGATACAAACTGCTAAGGAGAGCGCTTCAGGCGAGTCAGTCATTTTCTTAGATAAGATAAGAAATGCATAATTCACTGTTCAATAACTGTGATTAGAAGGTTGACACCAGAAATGAATACTCCTGTCAGCAGAGAATCATTGGTTTCTAATCCAATCCAATCTACTTTATTTATGTAGCACATTTAACAAGAAAATGTTTTCAATATGCTGTACATAAAAACACACAGAAAGGACTAAGACTTTAAAATGAATAAATGCGTGAATTGTAGCTACATATGCAAATCCAACAACAAAGTCAATGGAGTTCAGAGTGTGTGAATGGCTTGTGTAGCTCTAACTCAGTTGGTATAGAAATAGTTTACACTTACCGGCAATCCTTGGTTTCCAGGGCGACCTCTGGGGCCATTCAGACCTCTGGAACCCTTGAAATAGACATAAATGTTGATAAGTTAAAGGGAAGTCCCATTAAGGAGACACAATTTAAGTGAGAAACCTAATAAGTGAGAAAATAATCTGCATATTTAGGCTTTTATGTGTAAGATAGAGTATGTAGAACTATCAAATTCTTCATCTAAACCTAATCTTTTTCCACCAGGTTTATTTAAAATGCAGTTGAAATAGTCAAGACTTTGGCTTAATGATTTATGACAATTTATGTCTTTGTTTTCAGAGCAGTTACAGCTAAATGTTGGTGGGGTTTTTGGAATGGAAGCAATAAACTTGCATTTTCCATAGCTGAATAAAACAAAATCCACATGTATCTTTAAACCCTGTTGATGTGAACAGTGTGCGTGCACATATTGGGTCAAACGTGCAATATATATTTCTATATATATTTCCTAATTTATAAAGCACCCGGAGGTATTTTATTTTGCGTATTATAAATTATTTCCCGATCGATCCCAAGTACTGGAAGGACCAAAGGTTAAATCCAAATCACACATATAACGTATTCAACACGAAGTTGAAGTCTTTAAAAAATATATCTTATAATTTTTTTTTGTCGCTTGTGGTCAACATTTAGTGTATTTAACATTTGAGCCTTTGCACAGCTTGTAAAACTGGATATGTGATGTTTATTATTATGCTGATTTAAAAAAAAACTCTGATTTCCCTTATTTTATAATATACAAAATAATATAATATATTAAATATCCAACTAAATGAGACTTTACTTGCTGCTGAATCTTTCTCTGTGTTTTTGTGACGTTACAAGCTCTGTGCTGCAACAGCTGAATGTTGGTGTTTACTGAACCAGGTGCTTCAGCATCAGAAGCTGGTAAGTTAATGGATGCATGCTAAAGTACTACCAGCAGATGGTGATGGTGTACAGCAATAGTAATGTCTGCTGATCACGCTTTATTCAAAAACTCACTTGAGACTCAAATAAAGACTAATTAAATGGTATGAGGATGAACCCTTGGAGCATATTGCTTTAGTAACCTGAGCATATGGTTTTTGGTGTACGTTACTGGGCACCTGGCCTCTAACACAAAGCTTCCAGACAGAAGAAAACCTAGGGAGAGAATTGTGGACCTGTTAATCCTTGAGGACAGAATCAGAATCAGAATGAAACACACTTTAATAATCCTAGAGGGAAATGACATTTGTTACACGCTCCAGATATACAAACATTTTTATACATATATACACAATCCAAACAAAATAGTATAAATATAAATAAATACATATATAACTGTATATATACATATATGTATATATATATATACATATGTATAACTATATATCCAAATAAAGTGATAGTGACGTTGTGCAAAAACAGTGCAAAGAATGAATAAATGTCAATTACAGAGGGGGGTGTCTGAATCACTGAGTGAGGCGTTGTAGAGATTGATGAACACAGGCAGGAATGATTTCCTGTGACACTCTGTGGTGCATCTGGGTCATAGGTAATTTCAAGGAAAATTTCAAAATATTCCATCATTAAACTGTTAATGAAGCATATGTGTTCCAAATGCATTTTTGGTGAAATGTTAGATTCAATCCCAAAACCATAGCAACAGAACTTTTGAAAACTCTGACTGTAGATGGTGAGACCGTCTTATCATCCAGAGTAAAATTAGCCCTGTAATGACATGGGCTGAAAGGCCACTCAACCATGAAGAAGCTCTTTCTTTAGCAAAGCCAGAAGATGTTGATTGTCCTGTTATTTGATGAACCTTAAGTGTTTATATTGACCATTATTACTTTGGATGAAGTAGAACTTTGGAATCCTGATAAATCTATCCCGATTCTGATGTATGGGGGAGGCAGCATTACCATGTGTAGATACATTTTCATATGAGGGGATGTTATGATCTGCATCCAATTCAAAATCTAAAGCCATATCTAAAAAGAAACATGCTAGCCTACCAATTGGACTCAGTTACAGTATTTTTTTTTCTTGAGGAATAGACCACCAGTTGTTCCTGGTACTAAGTATCCAAAACATGATCCTTTTTGAATCCTTTTGGTTGCTTGCACATTCGCCACAGCCAGTCACTATCACTTGATCAAAGACTTTTTCAAAGTCTTCACACCAGATGCCATTCCTGATGCAGCTTAGTTTACGATCCGTCTGCATCACAGTCAAAGATTTTGACTACATCACCATGAAAAATGGTACTTAGAATGAAATAATCAATTCCTAAGGGCAGGGGAGCGGGGTGTTTGGAGCTGATGTGGGGACTGAAGGAGTGAAACCAAAGGGAGGCCCAGAAACAAAAAGGTTTGGGAACCACCAAGCTAGGAAGTATAACCTTAGAAAGGTTACATTGGTAACATATTGTAAATATAATCTGATTTAATATCAGATACTCAAGAAACAAAATTTGTATGTGTTTTTTTTACATCTGGTTTTTCTGTATATTTAGTTATGATCTATTTCAAAGATAGATAGAGTGAGGATAAAAAATCTTACCTGTAAATTTTTCTTTAACTTTAAACAAGCTTATATAAATTGTATTAAATTTCTTTGAGAATTAATAAAACAATGTTAAAATGTACAAAGTAACGGCGTAACCATCCTGATTCCTATATTTTATAATCTTTTAATGAGGAACCTGCAACAGAACTGCCTTTGTTTTCTTAAGCTGGGTTTTTCATTTAATTGTTTAATTCATTTAATAATAACAGAAAAACATGTACTAGCTGAAAGTATAAACTCTTAAGTTGTTGATATAAACATAAATATGTTTCTCTTTAAACACTCACAGGATCACCTGGTTGTCCTCTTGGCCCCGGTGGCCCCTGGGAGCCCTATAAATACACAGATGAACAAAATCAAATAAGTCCTCACATAAAATCCTTTCCATTGTTATAAATACCTATGCCATGATACCTTACCTTTTCTCCCAGCTCTCCTGGGGGGCCTACAGGTCCTGGCTTCCCCCTATCTCCCTAAAAAGATATTACAGGTAGATGATTGAATTGCAGGCTTGACATCCCTCACTCATTCCAGGTTATTTCTGTACCTTGTGTCCTTTATTTCCTGGGAGACCAGGTAAGCCATCAAAGCCCCGATCTCCCTAATAAAAAATGCACAACAACAGGAGTCAGACCATAATTCGTGAAAGCTGAACAGGCAGGAAAAGAAACGTGTGTCTGCGGCATTAGTTTACCTTTGCTCCTGTTTCTCCTATCGCACCACGAGCCCCATCTGAACCTCCCCGACCCTGATAATAAACACATAATCGAGTAATAAAAATATGACAGCAGATGATAAAACATTTGACACTAATTTTAAAAACTACTCAGTGGAAGACGATTGCGATGATAAGAACAAAATTGGCAACAAGTTAAATATCCTCACCCGTTTTCCCGGTCTTCCATTCTGACCTGGAATACCCGGCAGTCCTGGAGGACCCTAAGAGAGAGAAAGGTGAGTGCATAACATGAGATAAAACACTAAAGGCTTCAAAACTCATCTCACCATCGCTCCCATTTCACCACTGCTGCCTTTCAGCCCCGGGGGACCTGATGCACCCTGAGAGAAATAAATAAAAACACAAATAAATAAATTAGATTAAACTATCACAGCTATGCTAAACATGTTGTGTCTCAGAGCTATAAGATACATATAAACATGGAATAGAATATGAAACATAAACAATAGAGTAATGTTAGACTGATAAAACCCTGTTTTCAGACTATAGTCAGAGTCACTGTTTAGAACTCCCCAATAAAGGAACATTCTGTTACCCCCTGATTGTCCCCATATCAAAGCAATCCTCTAGAAACACCAGCTCTGTTCATCCCGTGACCACACCAGTCTGCCCAAGGCGGACACTACTGAATGCCTGACTTGCTACCAAGAGACAATTCTCTTCTACATTTAATCCAAAGTTAGGTACTGTGTGCATCCCAAACATGGATGGTTCTGGACAAAGGCCAACATGGGCCAGTGCCCCTGTAGAATTTGTCATGGCTCGTGTTAATAAGACATGATTGTAAATCAATTTCTCATGATGATGGCATAAGGAATATTGGCCACTCCATATGTAGATCCTTTATGGAGCAGCAGGTAGCCTAAAGCACCTGGGAATAATGGTCTTGTTCAGGGACCCACAGTAGTCAACTGTGGTGTATAACTTGCATACTTGCAGCCCTCTCAGGTCTCCAGTGCTCTGCTCTAGTCACTGTGTCACTACTCAGGAATGGGCTGTGGCATTTTTAGCTTCAGGCATATTGAGGTAACATCACCTGGTCCTGAACCACCACTGTTCCAATAAAACCAATGTTCACAGCCAATGGCAACACAAACAGGCAACATTCATCTTTTTTTCTTTGTTCCTTTCTTTGTTTGTTTCTTTCTTTTGTTCTTTCTTTGTTCTTTCTTTGTTTGTTTCTTTTTTTCTCTGTTCTTTCTTTCTTTCTTTCTTTCTTTCTTTTTTTATTTATTTATTTATTCCTGGAAGACTGGAACTAGACATCCATTAGAGAATGGATGAAATCAGCCAGGCCTTGGCAAATTATAATTTCACCTTTATTCAGGTAAAAAAATATTTCTATCTAAGGGAAACCAGCTGACTGCATCGACTCATTGACTATTTCCAATCCCTCATACCAAGCATGCATGTGGTGACGGTGGAGAGGAAAACTTCCTTTTATCAGGCAGAAACCTTCTGCAGCACCAGGCTCAGTGTGAGTGGCCATCTGCCAAGGCCGACTGGGGTTCAAGGGGACAGAGGCAAAAAATGACATGAATGAAATTAATTCTTTAGCACTCAGGCCCTGGCAGTATACTTTGATGCTGTGGTTCAACTTTAGCTTCGCTGAGTAACCTAGGAAACGGATTAGAGTAGTCTTCCCCTGAGGCCCGGACAGTGACGGTGGAACAACCCAGAGGATGAGTGGGACTGGATAGTCTGAGACTAAGGGAGGAGATGGGTGAAAGTTTGCTTCCGTGTAGGAGAGAAAAACTAAGCCAGGAGCTAAATGAAGAGAAACAGGAAAGATGATTGGCCTTGGAGAAGGTGTGGCTCTGACTTGATTGGCTGAGGCTGAACAAAGGACATCGCAGGTGGTTCAGGGGAAGCTGATAAGAGTATTCCAGATTGAATTTTTGCTTAAGCTTAATTTAACAAAATATTTAAAAACAAAAAAGTACACATGCTGTTGTATGGTCTCCTGATTTCTTCCCATGATTGTATACTTTCACAATAATTACAAACTATATAGAAACGTACATATTTCTTTGCATGTATACATTTTAAAAGAACACAAAACATTTCAGTATTATCAAAACTATCCATGTTGACAACACTGTTTTTTCTAAGGTTAAACCCTAAAACTCTATTTTTACATTTATTCATATGATTTTATGGAAAAATAATACAGTATTGTGTTTTATATGATTTTATATTTGGTTTAGAATTTGAGCTTCTAATTTATAACAGTTCCTAAAGATTTCTGAAGGTATTTCAAAGCTTTTATAGGAATGTAGCTACATTACAACAGATTATGCCGAGTATACTGAATCAATGCGGAAAACCTAAATAAAAATCCAAGAGCTGAAAAAGATTCTCATCCGTGAATCATCGTTTGGTTGATCGTCTCATGAAAACATTTTATCAATTAGCTTTTTGAAAATCCCCTTGTTACTTTTAGGATACTGTTTGTTGCCTTTACGTCTTCTATTATTTTCATATTTTGAGAGTGTTTTTATTCTTGTTAAAGACTCAATCATAGACCCAAAAGATCGTATATATGCATTTATTTATTTTTTTTATTTATGTATTTATTTATTTTAAATAAATAAATAAATTATTTATTTATTTATTTATTTATTCATAGTTCACTGGTATGTGATCCTTGAGTTTGGGTGCCTTTTATGGATAAAAGAGATAACAGAAGTCAAAGCCAAGTTGGTTTTAAAACAAGCAAACAAAAGAAGCAGGAATATTGTGCTGTAGCTGAGGAAAAGAAAGCAGCAGTAAAACTTTAAACAGCCTGAGGAAGTGTTTGCCCAGACAAGCTGTTCCCAAACTTTCAGCTTCTGACCCACAGAATAACAGTGGAAGAGATTTATGATCCTGATAATCAATAGATTATACAAATATTTCCAATACGTCATTTAAATTTGGTAAAGGCTTCATCCTAAATAGCAACAGCAGTTCAACTATGGATTTTATCTCTATGCGAGTCATGTTTATGTCTTTTTTAACATGGAGCCTAGACGGAAGTTCAACTGAAGAAACTCATTGCTCTCCTACATCCACCTACGACACAGTCAGTCAGCTTTAAACCACACCTCCACGAAAGCCAATCAGCATCCAAAGTTCATCTTAAAAGGCCTCTGATGAGCACTTGTCTGCTCCTTTGCGCAGGCGGCGGATGCGCTGTGACTTCATTCAGATGACCCCATTTCAACCCACCTCCAGCCCCTCCTCCACCATCGTAGCTAAAACTTCATCAGAGTGTCATTCCTCCCAGACTCTTACTGCTTTCCGCGTCTCATTCCAACCGGTCTGGTGGAAGACCGCCATGTTGAGCCTGGTTCTGCCAGATGTTCCTTCCCAATAGGGAGTTTTCCCTCTCCACTGTCGCTTCATGCTTGCTCATCATGGACAGGTTCTCTCAAACTGTGTTATCCAACTGGGCTTTCATCTTACAGGTCCCTGAGTGAAGCTCTAGTATCAGCCCACTCAGTCCACTGGATCTCCCCATAAAGCTCAGCATACCGTCTCGCTAACCAGCAGTCTACAGACTGACCAACTTCATCTATCTCAACTCCACCACCAGTTTCAGGCCTGGGGGGAAACAGCCCTGTTCTTTGCTCCTGTTCATGCATATCTATCAAAATTCAGCGCTACGTTTCCTGCTGAGGTCTGAGCACCAAGACCAAGTAATTGTATCAATACATTTCTTCTAATTGTCTTTTCTCTTCATGTGGGCTTTTCAGATTGAAATGTATACCACACATAACCTTTTTCTGTGATTATTTTGCATGTTCCTTTGCTACCCCAACTAAGGGGCCCCCAAGTTTAAGAACCATTGGATCAGACCACATGTAAAAATCATAAATGCAGCTTCTTAAATAGAAAAGGGAGAGAAAATATAAAGAAAATTAAAAATGACATTATAACAGTATTTTTAGATTTGAAATTATTTTTTTCTAACAATGTAAATCCATACAGTCACATGTGCACTTATATATTTGTATGATGGATGTAAGCTACTGCAATAAAAGTTAAAATACATTCAGGATGACTCACCAGTGGTCCAGGTCTTCCTCTGAGACCCAGTGGCCCTGGAGGGCCCTTCATTGCCAGCTAGGGAAAAAAAGTTAACCTTTAATGAATCCTCATAAATGCCTGATTTAAATCATCTGAGATTATCAGAGCATAATAATATGCTTGTCTACCTTTGTCTGTTGCAGGATGGCCTGAGCCTGAGCCTCCTGTGCAGAAACAATAGCACCTGTCTTTGGGTCCCCACCAGACTGGAACTAAATAGCAGAGAAAAGTATTACTCAACACTCCTCCTAGTGGTCATTATTTTCTACTGGCAGCTAAGATTTCCATAAGAAGACACTGCCTACAGTGGAAATACATGAAACAAGAAATATGAGATAAAACGGGAAAAAAAAGAGAAGAATTTGTCTCAACACAGGATTGCAATAGTTAGATTTAAGTACATCCAGAGCTACTAAACTTGGAAATCTTGGTAAAGGGTAGTTTAATTTAATTAGTATAATAAAATATTATACACCATTAAATCTGGTTAAATAGTGAATCATAGTTACTGCCTTTAAGAGGAACATCTACATTACGCTAACAGTCTCAAGTTTCAGAAAAAATGCTGAAACTTTTCCATTCACCCTGAGGGACTTCTTTATTATGTAATAGCACTGCAGCCACAGCGGCTCAGCAGCAGCTTGCAGAGCCTATAGGAGCACAGTAATATCTGTCTGTTACCGGTATCAGCATTATGTTTCCTGGAGGACCTGGGATCCCATCAGCACCATTAAGGCCCGGCCGCCCAGGAGGGCCCTTAAAGCAAAGACAGAGATAAGGGCAATTACAAAGACACAATGGTATGTTCAGTCATTCATTGAGCAAACAGGCTACAGCACCAACCAGCTCTCCAGGGTCTCCTCGAGGGCCCACCGGTCCTGTGATTCCTGGAGGGCCTGGTTCTCCCTGCGGATCAAACATTCGGTGTAGAGAAAAATTGTTGTTTATCCTCGCAAACCTATCCTACATGTTCTTATGTTGTTGTAAAGTCTGAACCTGAAAAAAAACACATGCTATACCTGAAGAAAAATGTGTTTCTACTTTAAGTATCACAGTTAACGTCACTAACCTCTGGTCCTGGAGGTCCATATGGTCCTGTAATCTGAGTTCCCTGTAAAACAAACACCAAAACAAAGGACTATAATTGTTTTAAAAGTTAAAAGTTCCATTTACACATACTTTGCTGTAAAAAAGAAAAAAAAAAAAAAAAGATTTCCTCCCACATATGTGCAATTTTGACCTTGTAAATTGGATCACAATAACTCCTTTCCTGAAATGCCTCATCCGTTTTACACCTGGTATAAAACATGGCTTAATTTAAAAAAATCTACTATTTTTTTTGGCAGTCCTGACAATATATTTCCTATATGTTGTGGATCATCAGAATCCTTTTAGAAAAATTAGGCCAACAGTGTTTTTGGGGAATTTTCTTTTGGAGTCTGGATCTTTCTGTATGGTTCACTAATGTCCTTAAAATGACTTTGTAACCCCTCTCAGACTGAAAGATATCAATTAATCTGTTATTGACTGATAATCTAATTAATTTATATGTTATGTTACGTAATGTGTTGTCTGCTAGGAGTGACATTTTTTCTGTCAGGCTGATTTGAATAGCTTTGCCTCTGATCCAGTGGTGGAAAGTAACAAAGTACATTTACTTGATTACTCTACTTAAATACTTTTTTTGAGTATATTTACTTTACTTAAATCATTTTTGGGGGAGGGACTTATAACTTTCTGCTCCACTACATTTCCATTAGGAAAGTTACTTGTTCCTTTTTTTCTCAGCTTAGCTTTGCAATTAGCTGTTGATGTTTATCTTTCTTGAAATGCTATTTCAACATGCAAGAGATGGACTGAACTTGGACACCACAGTTTCAGAGATTTGCATAACATTCCACAGACGTGAGACACTCAGGGTAGATATTATTTATAGTTTATAAATCGTATTAAGGCATTAGTTGTTGCCATGTGGCCAAGTTGTTTAGTAGGATGAGTTCTCAGAATCAGAGTTTCGGTTCCTTTTTGGTAATAGATTGTTAAACTTCTATCCCATCTTAAACTTCTATCTCATAGTGAAATTGTGAGGAGAATCAAGAAACTTCTGTTTTCTTTTTGGTTTGTTTTTAGATAAGAGCTAATAATCAAAATAGCTGTCCTAATTTTTTGCACCATTTTTAGACTGAAGTTCTTCACAGGTGGTGTAGGAGAATGGTTGTACGCATCAATACATCAGTTGGTTTCTGAAAGTTACAAGGTTCTGTAAAATTATACAGAAATTTTCTTTGTACTGATATTAGAACATTTGATATGTAATTGAATGACTTTTAGAAGCATTTACTTTTGAATATATATTTTCAAAAATGAGTACTTCAATACTTTAACCTTAGTAGATGTTTGACTGAGTAACATTTACTTGTGGTAGAGTAAGATTTGACAATGAATATCAATACTTTTACTCAAGTACTACTGTTGAGTACTTTGTCCACCACTATAATAATTATTTTAAAATTATATTTTGGATTTGCTGTTTACTCCTGTCTGCCATCAGAATTTGCTCTATTTCTGAAATATTTATGTGCGCTAAAGTGCAAAGTTATATTTGTAAGAGAAAATATATTTTTTAAGTACCATAAAATCTAACAAGAAGCCTTTTTAGGATAGGATAGGTAAAATTATTGTTCTAGGTTTAAACAGTAATATGAGAGTGTAAAACAAGCACATTTTAGAATAGGATCTCTTTAATTTGTGAACTTAACAAATATGGTTAAAATGCATTGAGAGAAATATTTTATGGTTGATTGAGAGATTTTAAATAGCTGATACATGTTTTCTTGGTTTAATTTAGTGAAAAGAGTTGAGGCTCCGGAGCAAATGATCAACACACAAAAGAAAAGTATTTTTTACACTAATGCAAAAACAAAATGTGCAAATACCAATAGCATTCCTTTTGATCATTGATACAATTTAGCTGTATCATTCCTCCATATTTGCAAACCAATGTAATATTTATTTAAAAATAACATTTAGGAAAAAAAATGCTTTTTGTTTAAAACAATTAAAGTAGTAATACTTAAAATCCTAGAGAGCTCTTTTTTTTTTCGACTTTAATGCTCCTCAAAATGCAAAGGACAAGCTTCCATCTAGTTGAAGCAGTTGTGTCAGCAAATAGCTAAAATCAAAATAGCTATTCATTTAAACCTGCTTTTATCTACAGCCGAGGAGGAAATCGTATATATATCAACTGGTAAACTATGTGAACAAAACATAGGACTTGTTAGAAGTATAAAAAAAAGTGCTTCTTCTCGGCTGTTATCAGCTCAAAGAAATTATTATTGTTACACTGCTGAAATACTGAGGTCAGCTAATAGCACTGTTCAAATGTGTACATCATTAGAATACAGTCTGATGGTTTAATCCAGTGGTTCCCAAAGATTTTCTTCTGGGCCCCACACTTTGGGAACCACTGGTTTAATCGATGAGATTGTGGCAAATGTACCGGTATGTAAAATGTCTAAAAATGTATCTGACATTTACAAGCCTAATTTAGTTTACAGACATTATGTTTAGTGTTGTTGTAAATCCCATTATGTGTGTGTGTGGCTCCTTACCAGACCCAAATAACCCGGCTCTCCCTTCTGTCCTTTCTCTGGTAAGTTCTGATGTAAAATATATTCCAGAGAAACAAACATCATTATTGTGTAAAATTGCTTTTGACATAATTTATATCTAAATAAATGAAACCTTTCACACCACCTGAGTGTTAAGCAAGTACTCCCGTTCTCTCTCCGCAGGTCCGTAGCGATCGTCGTATTCTTCATCATACTCCTCATACTCATTTACATGGTAGTAGTTTGTTGTGTTGTCATAGTCCTCGTACTCTATAAACTGAATAACACACATTTACAGGCTTTTAAATCATGAAGGAAAAAGGAAAAGGAGAGGGATTATGTAAAGGGACAGAAACTAAATTGATTGGTTATTGTTTCCTCCCACTAAGTCTCACCTCATACTCAGTTACATTAGGACCTGCAGTCACAGTGGACACTGAGATGTCATCATAGAAAACGCTGTAGTCAAACTCTTCCACTATGCGTTTCTTAGGTGTTCCTTCTTCCTAAAGACCAGAAAAAAAGAATAAAAACAGGGGACAAAAAACCTGAATGAACTAATAATCTGTCAAACTGTTAGCAGGAAAGGCAAGTATGTTAATAAGCATGACGTCAAAGCATACACTGCAAAAACGTTCTGAAAATGAGAAAAAAATATTCTTCAAATAAATGTATTTAACCTTCATTTGAGTAGGAAAATAAGGTGATCTGCCAATGAAATGAGCATTTTTACCCTTGAAATAAAAACATTAGATGATATGCACTTGAAATAAGAGACCGCAGTTGTGTTTTTTTTATTTTAAATGTAAAAGTTTCTCACTAACCTGCTCAATTCAAGTAAAAATGCACTTAATTTAAGAAAAAATGTCTTACTTAGATATACATTTTTTGCAGTGTACGCATGTTAAGAATTATTGCTCCAAAAAACAAAACATCTGTAGATGTTTCACAAATGGTTCTTTGTCATTAAATTTCAAAAGTCTTCAAATAATTGTTCTGCACTTATACCCATGATAAATGGCTGCAGTAGGGACATATTTTAGTATTTAAGTCAAGATAGGTTTAGCTAGCGTTGCCATCTTATTATGATCCTTCACAAGCTTTAGCTTGAAAAGAGCTTAAAGGGCCAAATGAAATGTAATGCAAAATGTTACTTTAGAAAGGGTTTTAGCTGCGGCTATACAGTAATGCAGCTTTTGAATTCCTGAGTGAAATACAAATAATGCTATGAAAGAAAGTAAAAACATCATGATTACTGCAAGGATCGATAAGGTTGGCGGGAAAAATAGAGCGCTACGTGCATCAGGGGGACAATGATGTTTAGATCTAGAGCGGAAATTGCACATTGAATGGATAGCTGTAGAATTGGGGAGTTTTTTTTGTTGAACAATTTCAGTCACATGGATCCATTTACCACGCAGGCCAATGACCCACAGACCAGGTTTGTCACATAGTGCTTTTAAATCTCACGATTGGATGCACGTCTGTCAGGTCTCTTATTAAGCCAGTACAGGCCATTTCATAATTAGGGAAAACTGGTTTGCAACATTTTTTTAATTTTCTTTCAAATACTCAAAACACCCCAAATTAACAAAGACAACACAACTTATTAAGATAGTCTTCACATCCCAAAAGCTAGTTTTGAAACAGAACAATAGATTAAAAAAAACTTATTTTTAAGAGCCGATGCATCTGGAATACTTATTTTATCCCAGTCTCCATTCTCCCCTGCTTTTCAAAACATTTCTCCACACTCTCCTCCCAGTGGTTAAATCACCTTTTATGTCTTCATCTAATGATATTAACTTTATGTAAATGATTTTGAGATGACCACATTACCATGGTGTTATGCACTGATACCAAAGCTAAGCATTCCAGACAATACATGACACTCTCTTGCAACTTTTGATAGCCGACATCTGATTTTGTTTTTTGTTTTTTTGGACAGATATATTAAAAAACACTGTATAACTTTCAGCCACTAGGGGAGCTAGACCTTTGACCTTCAGGTTTAGCTGCCCTAAAAGCAACTGGTAACTGCATTGCTGCAAAAGTTTCCCTCCATGTTTTATAATCCAATAGAAGACCACTATTGAGTAGTCATGGAGTTATTTTTAAAAACGAGGCCACGTTAAATCCTACATCTAAGAACCATAAATATGTCTGATCACGTAAATTTCATATCTGTTTTGTTGACTATCAGCATCTTTAGCATAGGTAGCTCTTATATTTAAGGGGAGCCCAGACAGTCGTAAAGCAGTGTTCTGGGTCACATGAATCATTCACAGATGGATCCAACCCTCTCAAGTTACATAGGTGCATCTTAAAGGAGTCAAGCCTGCACATACTGTAGCATGCTCATGTTGACCTGCAGTATCATAATTTAATATACGGTATTTAGGTCAAGAGTTACGCTGTGTTAATTTGAATTTAACCATTTTCAGCTATATGTCAAAAGTATAGACAAAATAATGTTGTAAAAATGATAAAATATGCCGTTAAATCACTGTTCTCTTAAATTTGACCATTGATTCCTTTTGTAAAATACAGTTCTGGCAAGGCCTCAGAGAAAAAGCTAAGCCAAATTAAAAGTGTGTGTGGAGTTGTAAGCCAGATGGGGAATAAAACAGCAACAGAAGGAAGTGATCTCAAACTTTTCATAGAAGAACTTTTCAACGAAACAATGAAGCCAAATCATCTTTCTTTGATTATAGTTAAAGCCAGTAGTATAAAAACTAAAAGATATTTTAGAAAATTGAATCTCTGACATGCATCCGGCTATTTGCAAAGTACAGCAGTAGCATCTTAATTCTACCTTTTGAATGAAGGAAACATACCTCTTCAGTCTCTATTGAAATGCTTTCATAGGGTAAAGCTGAATCACAGTCTGGGATGTAGTCTTGGCAGTAGGTTTCTGCTGCTCTGGGATCATCGACTAGAAGCAGTTGCTGGATTTGTCCCTATTCAAAAGCAAAAAGACACATAAGAAAACCCTAAACAATCAGGAATGCAGACAAACCATTGCCTGCAGGTGTCACAAATATTCCTCATTTAACAGCATGGTATTAATAAAATAAATGACCAAGCACACACAGATGTCTGTCATGTCTTTATCTTTAAATGTGTTCAAATAGTCAGATCAAAGTGGCTCAACATGCTGCTTTTATTGTTGCTCTGCAGTTAATCGTCTCCAGAGCTTTAGTCTCTGGAGGTCCCAGTGCATTTCTTCCACAAAACAATCTTTTCCTCTGTCTGTTTTACATGTGCATATACATAAGCAGTCCGAACAAAATGCAGCAAGGAGCTGCATGGATGACCAGATGTCCCATTCCACACGATTCAAGGTCACAGTCTGCACCTGATGTCTGTCAAAATAACCTCAGGGTGCAATCAACAAGCCAGAACCAACTCATAAACATCCAGAGGGATGTAAGCAGCAAAGTGTTCTTGCAGGTTGGGTTGTGTTCATGAGGTGTACTTAGAGATTAGCTAAAAAGGTAAATCTTCACATAAAGATGTTACTCCAGAACTCTGGCATGTAAAGGTTGTGGAAGCTAAGAAAGTTGCATTTCATTCTTACAACCACTGGAGGGTGTTATAGAGGGATAAGCATTTTTTTTTATATGACAAATCAATTAACAATGCAGTTGCAACTAGAGACACTTTCTAGGGACCTTTTCAATGCTTATCTTCATAGAGGACAAAGATAAAATATAAAATATTCATATTCACATAAAATATTCTCACGGGCAAAAGGAGCCCTAAGAATAACTTTCTCTACTAAATGATTTGTATCACAAAGTACGTTTTAAAGAATAAGATAAGCAGAGACATAGACCTACTTATTTAGACAATCATCTTCTACTATATTATTTGCCACTTCGTCAGTAAAGAGTTCTTTAACACTGTTAGATGTACATCTGACTGTTTGGTATTTTGTCATTTTCATAGATTCAACTAAAATCAAAGGAACAAAGTTCCATTGTGATAGCAGGCCAATAACATTTGCAAAGTTGTCTGTTATGTACAGATTGAAAAATAGTTTATCCACAGACTGTATCAGCCCTTTAATGCCTTAATAATATTGAAGTTAGTGTTATGTGATGTAACAAACAAAAAACCTACAGAATAAACCTAAAGAATTATGAAAACATAAAAAGAAGGTCCTGGTCATTGGAAAAACAATCAATTTGAAATAACTTCAAACAATATCAGTGTTAATAAGTCTCATGGCTCTACACCGAGATAGTGTGAAATAGTGTTTTATTATTATTATTATTATTAATAAAGTACAAAATATTATGACTTACTTAGAGGCTTAGACAACTTTTATGGTCATTTTGTATACACAGAGTATATACAAAACGAAATTTCGTCTTGTAAAGCTTTTCATAACATTTCCATTCCATAAAGTGCAGCAGTGATCAAATGTAAACAGTGTTAGAGAAAAAACATGGTGCAAAAAACACATCGATATGGAAGTTCAGAGCATTAAATACAAATGGTGCAATTTTGAAGTGTTTTGGTTTGTCAGTGTGATGCAGACATGCAGATAAAATCGAGATTACATTAAAAACAGAAGAAATAGTTAAGAGCTCCATCACTTGGAGCAGTTCCTAGCCATAGGAAGCCACATCTGCAATGATGCACCTCAATGAACACAGCAAACTCAGAGTCTAATGTGGTTTAGGGACCCTACTAGAATGCCTCCAGGGTCCATATTTTGGAGGTTTTCCCGGCAGATTTCCCTGGAAGGCAGCCAGAGCCTAGATTAGATCTAGCTGGATGAACTATGTATTTCTTCTGGTCTGGGAATACCTTGGGATTCCCTGGAATTAGCTGAAATGTGCCATTATCAAGATACATTTCCACAATATGTGAGTCAGATTGGTCAAAAGTGAGGTCTAATTTAGTCCTCTAAAATTAGAAGAAAAAATAACTGCTAACCTCAGCATCAACTGGATTCAAACAAACTGCAGCATAGCATGCTGAGTACACATACATAATTCAGTTAAATTAGATAAATGCTTAGAATGGGTCATGATCTTTCACTGTTACCATTTTTATTTTCAGTGATCCTTTTTTTCTGACTTTTTCTGATTATAGTTCAATCTAAGATTTACTTATTAATTTACCCTTGTATTCAACCTTTATGTCTTTGTAAGATGCTTTCCAGTGTTTCTGTGTTTCTCAGAACAGCTCCTGTTTTTATAAAGCTCTCTCATCCTCAGCTCCCTGCCTTATCCTTCTGCTCATCTGTTTCTCATACGTATATGATTATTCACACCTGCTCTCCATGCCTCTTCTCCTCACTCTTCACTGTGTATAGGCT